AAAAAAAAAAAATGTATGTGAAAGGAAGAGAGAAAAAAAAAATTTTTTTTTGGTTGCAGTTTTTGAGTGGGACCGCGTTTGAACCCATCACCTCCAGTATATGGGGCCAGCGCCCTACTCCTTGAGCCACAGGCGCCTCTGGAACAGAGAAAAATTTTAAAAGCAGTTGGAGCTACGTCTGGTAAGACCCTGGAAGCCAAATAAGGACTAGAGCTTTAGTCTGTAAGTAATGAGGAACTACAGAGGGTGCCAAAAAATGTATACATATTTTAAGAGAAGAAAAAGCTATCAAAATAATAATATATACTGATAACATTTGTTATCTCATATAGTTTCTTATATCTCTGGTAACTGCAAAAGTGAAATCTGACTTGAGCATTACAGTTTTAATACAATCTTTTTTTCCTTTCTTAAAATGTGTACACAGTTTTTTGACACCTTCTGTATTTTAGTTCTTAGCTGGACACAGTGGCTCATGCCTGTAATCTTAAAACTTTGGCAGCCAAGGTGGGAGGATTGCTTGAGCCCAAGAGTTCCTAGACCAGCCTGGGCAATAGCCAGACCTGGTCAATATGAAAAACAGAAAAATTAGCTGGGCATGGTGGTACAGTCCTGTAGCCCCAAGTGAGGCAAGAAGATCACTTGAGTCCAGGAATTGGAGGCTGCCATGAGCTACCATGACACTACTGTACTTTACCCTGGATGGCAGAAGGAGACCTTGTGTCAAAAAAAAGAAAAAGAAATAATGAAGAAAAAACAATTCAAAGTTCTTGAACAGGAGCTGAGTAGTCATAGGTCTAAAGAATACTGGAAAAGAGAGAGACTGTTGACAAGGAGACAAGAGGCTAGCACCATTGACACAAAGAGATAATAAGGGCCTGAACTAGAGAGAAAGGAGAAAGGGAGGAAGAACAAGAAGAAAAGGAGGGGAAGGCAGGGAAGAAGGGAAAACAGATGAATGAATGAGATATTTTAGATGCAATACTGAAAGAACGTGACAAGTTCTAGATGTGGAATGCAAAAAAAGATCTACAAAGAGGTAATAGCAAGTTTGGATGGGAGAAAACTAAGTCCTGGTCATAGTTTTAAGAATTTTAGTATCACTGGACACTCAGGTGACAGTATCACGAGTAAAATGTGTTAAACTATGCTGTTTAGAACAAAATATACAATTTTGTGAACAAGAGATAGGAGCTTAATTAATTGATCCTCAATAAAAGACGCTGATCAATGATTCAAACAAGATTATAACCTCAAAAATATAACTTGCACAGGTTAAAAAATGCATAGCAGATTAAAAGCCCATTTATGCATGAAGTCTTCTCCTGATAAGAACTTCATGTACACAAGAATCCTTTTTTGTTTTCGAGACAGAGTCTCAAGCTGTCGCCCTGGTAGAGTGCTGTAGCATCACAGCTCACAGCAACCTCTAACACCCAGCTATTTTATTTTTTTTGGGGGTTGCAGCTGTCATTGTTACTTAGCAGGCCTAGCTGGGTTCAAACCCACCACCCTAGGTATATGTGGCCAGTGCCCTTGCCAACTGAGCTACAGGAGCTGCCTGAGGTTTCTTTCTTTCTTTTTTTTTGAGGCAGAGTCTCATTATGTTGCCCTCGGTAGAGTGCTGTGGCGTCACAGCTCAGGCAACCTCAAACTCTTGGGCTTAAGCAATTCTCTTACCTCAGCCTCTGAGGTAGCTGGGATTACAGGTGACTGCTGCAACACCCAGCTATTTTTTTGGTTGCAGTTGTCATTATTGTTCAGCAGGCCCAGGCCCGGCTTGAACCTGCTAGCCTCAGTGTATGTGGCTGGTGCCCTACTCACTGAGCTACGAGTGCCGCCTAAAGTGACAGTAATTTATTTTTTTATTATTTTTTATTTATTTATGTATTTTTTGAGACAGAGTCTCAAGCTGTTGCCCTGGGTAGAGTGCCATGCCATCACTGCTCACAGTAACCTCAAACTCTTTTAAAACATACTGCCACAGTTAATAGTAAAGTGGCTCAGCAGAAGTCTTGAAGAACTACAAGTTAATAATTATAAAGTGAAATGTTTTTGTTAAAATGGTAAATGCAAGCTTGGCACCTGTAGCTCAAGCAGCTAAGGCACCAGCCACATACACCTGAGCTGGAGGGTTCAAATCTGACCTGGGCCTGCCAAACAACAATGGCTGCAACCAAAAAACAGCAGGGTGTTGTGGTGAGTGCCTGTAGTCCCAGCTACTTGGGAGGTGGACGCAGGAGACTCGCTTGAGCCCAGGAGTTGGAGGTTGCTGTGAGCTGTGATGCCACAGCACTCTACCCAGGACAACAGCTTGAGGCTCTGGCTCAAAAAAAAAAAAAAAAAAGGTAAGTGCATCTTTTGTAGTCCCTATGATTTGGCCTCAATTTAACTACAATGCCTCAGCAAGAGATGATCAAGCCACCTCATTAAGCCCAACTGATAAGGAACAAAGGGATACTACATTTCTATTTTTCTTTTTTTTTTTTTGAGACAGAGCCTCAAGCTATCCCCCTGGGTAGAGTGCTATAGCATCACAGCTCACAGCAACCTCCAACTCCTGGGCTCAAGCAAGTCTCCCGCCTCAGCCTCCCAAGTAGCTGGGACCACAGGCACCCACCACAATGCCTGGCCATTTTTTGGTTGCAGCCATCATTGTTGTTTGGCGAGTCCGGGCTGGATTGGAACCCACCACCTTAGGTGTATGTGGCTGGCGCCCTAGCCACTTGAGCCACAGGCGCAGAGCCCTAACTACATTTCTTTATGTATTCATTTTTTCTTTAATAAACACTTCTCCTCAGTTAATAAAATGGACTATACTTAGCTGTATCCCTCCCATATCCCTAGAATTCTTAAAAGCTTAAGAAAAAAATGATCATGAAATCACTTTGGGAATCAGAGGCACAAAATAAAACCTCCAATGATAAACTGAAGACAAAATGAGGATTACGCTATTCCATAAGCAAACAAAAATATCTCATCGACATAAACTAAAATGACAGTATGAAGATGAATATTAGCTTAATACATAATATGATATTAGTAAATGGTTGTTACATGTACACTGAATAAAAAATTAAAATCAAACATTTGAATTGTGGCTAATCTGCCTAATAAGTATATCCCATTTCTTATTTATTCATTTATTTATTGTTAATGCTAATAAAAAAAATCCTTTTTAGCAGACGCTGTATCAATATTTCAGTTTAAATGTTAAGGGGAAAAAAAAAGAGAACCCAGTCTTTCTGTTTTTATTAAAGATGAACAATAACATAAAGAATAAACTGAGTTGAATGTATTTTTTCACATGCAATTTCACCACTAAAATTATGCAGTAATCATTTGCTTAAAATCACACTGACATTTTATAACCATACAGAATTATATATACATCAAATGTTAATATTGGTAGTCTTTTGATTGTAGATTCGTGGGTGACTTTTATTTCCTTCTTTTTTGCTTACGTGTATTTTCAAAATTTTCTATAATTTATGTTTTATTATAATTATGCCAAGAAAAAAGATTTTTTAAAAGAGAAAAAAGTATCAATGAATATAAAAGAAATGTACTTACCAAGTCTCTGTGAAGCACCCAATTTGCATGGAGGTAATGGATACCATCAAGAATCTGGTAAAGTAATGATTTAACCATAGATCTTGGCAACTGCATGGGTTTTTTATTTGCTTTCGATGCACGGTGAAACTTAATAATATGCTGAAAATCAAAGCAATAAAACGTACTATCATAATATAATCTTTGCTAATATCTATGCCAATAAAATACAATCAAAGCTGTAAATGCTCTATATTTTAAAATTACTTATGAATAGCTAACAATTATACAATGAAAAATAATTTGAATAACAAGGTCAACTAAAAGGGCAATCTATTTTGGAGATGAATATAATCATGTAACGTAGGGTCAATCGTTAAGATTTTCTTTTTTTCTCTTTCTTTTTTTTTTTTTTTTTGAGACAGAGTCTCACCATGTCACCCTGGGTAGAGTGCCGTGGCATCACAGCTCACAGCAACCTCAAACTCTTGGGCTTAACCATTAAGGTTTTCATTAAAAAGAACCAAAAAGTAAGAAAGATTGATGTTTAAATAGCTGCTTAAGAATAGTGTTAGTCATATTCTCTTCTGACAGAATGGAAGAGTAAAAAAAGCACTAAGTACATTTGGGCAACTTCATTGACTACATGTATACTTTAATTATTGGGGAAGTTCCACCTTCTTCTGGCACAGAATGAATTACGATATAGTCCCAGGAGTTCCTATTAAATAAGAAATCACTTAAAAGGAGGAAGGAAAGAAAAATGAAAATTCAATCCCATTGAAATAAATACAACTGGATCATCATATTCAATTTTTTTCATCCACACACTATACTGCGGGTTATTATAACATTGTAATGAAAGGGAAGAAATGCGACCTGCCCCCACCTTCACCCACCGCTGCCATCTCTGCCTCCAGCCCACCCTCTGCCCATAGCATAGACCCTCTGCCAAAACGGACACTGAGGGCCATTCCAAATCCTATTCAAACAATATTGGTGAAGTCAACACTATTCCACTAACTTTAAAATGACCAAAAGGTATGTAAAATTATTGAGCTATTTATATAGTTTTGCTATTTTCTGTCAACTGTTCAATAATCATGTGATTTTAAGAAATAATAGAAAATTAAAGTTTATACTATAGCAGCAATCACCACAAGAAAAATAATAGGGGCCACATATGTAACTTTCAACTTATTAATAGTCATATTTTTTAAAAAGGTACAATTAATGCGTGCACCATATTGAACAGTACAGTTCTATAGGACCTGAGTAGTCTAATGCACTACATCTTTCATCATATCCTGATTTTCAAAGTGAAGTACATACATTATCAAGTAAACCTTGGGAGAGACATAGGAGAATATAGAAAAATGGAGAAATATAATTTTTGTGAATATCCATGAAAAAATTGAGAGAAACACCCTTGAAGTTTTGAATATTATAAATATCATTTCTTCATTAAAATGTTAATTTACTACACAAATTCTTTATTTTTATTTTTTTTGAGACAAGGTCTCACAATGTTGCTCTCAGTAGAGTTCCATGGCATCACAGCTCACAGCAACCTTAAACTCTTGGGCTTAAGCGATTCTCTTGCCTCTGCCTTACAAGTAGCTGGGACCCACAGGTGCCGGCCACAACACCCAGCTATTTTTCTGTTGCATTTGTCACTGTTGTTTAGCTGGCCCAGGGCAGGTTTAAACCCAACAGCTTTGGTGTATGTGGCTAGTGCCACAACCACTGTGCTACAGACTCAAAGCCAAATAAATTCTTTAAAATCAACATTTACATGTATTATTTTGTTTATCTTATTTTATTTTATTTTTGAGACAGAGTCTCACTTTGTTGCCCTCAGTAGAGTGCCATGGTGTCACACCTCACAGCAACCTCAAACTCTTGAGCTTAAGCGATTCTCTTGCCTCAGCCTCCCAAGTAGCTGGGACTACAGGCACCCACCACAACACCTGGCTACTTTTTAAAGATGAGGTCTCACTCTGGCTCAGGTTGGTCTCGAACCTGTGAGCTCAGGCAATCCACTTGCCTTGGCCTCCTAGAGTGCTAGGATTACAGGCGTGAGCCACCACGCCCAGCCTATTTTAGTTTCTTTAACAGCCTAAAATAGGATATATTTATTTTGAACTATACTTATCAGAGCAATCTTTCCTTTCTATGCATTAGCAATATTTATGATATACATATATGTACCTACCTATACAAAACACTCCTAAAAATACAGTAAGTTTACACTTACCCACAAGTCATGTTCTGCATAATCAAACAGCAGCCACACCTTCCTGTCACTGTGAGAAAGGAACACCTTCTGCAATGCGATCACATTAGGGTGCTTCAATTCTCGTAAAAGCTAAATGCAAGAGAAAGAGCAGGTCACTATTCTGTTAGCAAGGGCACGAGAGTGGTGAATTTCTTATAAAGACTTCAAAATGAAATTTTGGAAAATCTAGAAATTCTAGGTCAACAAAATAAAAGAAAAAAAATACCACCCAGGGCGGACCTGTGGCTCAAAGGAGTAGGGCATCAGCCCCATGTTATATACCAGAGGTGGCGGGTTCAAACCCGGGCCCAGCCAAAAAAAAAAACCACCCAAATACCATTACTCAGAGATAATCTCTGCCAACATCTTAGTGCATATCTTTCCAATCCTTTTTCTATGTGTATGTATGTGTTTTTAAACCAGGAACAATTTAAATAGTAGACAAAAGTACTACCATATCAGTAATTAATTATACTTTGGTACATGCCTATGCAGGAATCATGTATGGATAACGGTTGTGTCTATCCCAGCACAGTACTGGTGTTCAATAAATATTTGACAAAAGAGGGAAAGGTTGCCGACTTTCCTTATGCTTATCCAGGCCTGGAGTGTGTGGTTGAGGTTTTATCTGAATTGAGTATAAGGAAATGACTCTCATACCCACTGATAAAAACTGGAATTGAGAAGAGGCCCTGTAAATAGGGAAAAAAAGAAATAGGCCTTCACAGAGTATAAACTTTACGGGGGACTCTGACAACATGGAAGCAAGACAGACCAGATCAGCATTTGGCCCGAAACACAGCGGCCTGATAAAATATTTAACAACAATGACGTTAACTGCTCAAGGTGAAAGCCTTCTAAATATGCCTGCCCCAGGCAGTCCTTACCAGGGTTCAGATCTACTAGGTAGAAACATACTCAATCTGATAAATATTTTGAATACCTTTTAAAATATAAAGCTCTGTGGAAGATACAGAAAGGGAAAAGGAAGAAAACATCTATTGAATACTTTATATGGTGTGTGCAAGATGATTACATACAATGTTTTTCTCTCATTTAATTCTTGTAACAGTCCTATAATGCACACGGAACCCAAGGGTCAGTGTGATAAAAATAACTTGCCCCATGTCCAACAGCTAGAGAGAGAAGGGGGTTAGACTTAAATAGATCTGCCTTATTCCAGAGTCCACGCTTTCCCCACTACAGCTAAAGTCCTTGCCCTCAATTCCCATAACATAGCAGGGAACAGAGACCTATAAACAAATCAATGAGGCAGAAAAAAATAAACTTCTGGCTCGGCTCCTGTGGCTTAAGCGGCTAAGGTGCCAGCCACATACACCTAAGGTGGCGGGTTCGAATCCAGCCCGGGCCGCCAAACAACAATGATGGCTGCAACCAAAAAATGGCCGGGCGTTGTGGCGGGCGCCTGTGGTCCCAGCTACTTGGGAGACTGAGGCA